CTGAGGCCTTGGGAGGCTAGTCTCTCGTTCACCACTGATGACCGCCGCAAGGAGTAAACGTAGCTACTGGCTGACGTTTAATTCGCATTTAGGTGATGCAAAGCCCTTACATGCTTATCATGCTTTGATCAAGAAGCGCAAACGTGCCGGATGCCATTGTGCGCTGAATAACACCCTCCTGATAAGATGATTGTGCCGTCATTGGTCAGTACCAACGTTCGCTCGCTCTTCGCAAAGATCTCAGATTTAACTTCCTCACTGAACACACGCATCCATCTCAACACGTGCCTTATGCATACAAGAGACCTGGTTAAATCGAAAGGTTGAGGATGCTCTCGTGCAGATAGATGGCTTCGACTGTTACCGGCAAGATAGACAACAAAGCAGGAAGAAAACTGGAGGTGGTGTGGCAAGCCTGAAGTGGTTTTCAGCTATTCTGAAAAACCCATTGACTGGTTATCCGTTCGTTGTCATCCCAGATTTTCCCGATATAAAAGTACAATTATTAATATTGTGTACATACCTCCTTCGTGTTCTCAATCAGATATATCTTCTTTCCTTGATCATTACATCCAGCTTTTGGTCCCAATATTAGATGAAGATCTTCATTTGTCTGTTGTTGACTTCAACCATGCAAGCATTTTCCCTCTACTTTCTTTTGACTTGTCTGATTCGTCTCATTCTCCTGCCAGAGACAGATTTATACTTGACCAGATAACTACAAACCTTCCTACTTTGTTTTCTCTCAAATGAATGGCCCCAGTCGCTACCACTGATCATTTTGTTCCCATTTTAAGATCACAGATATACTCTCGCTCTTCATATCCAACATTCATACGATCAAACCAGATAAGGTTTCATCTCCGTAACTTCTCATTAACCCACATTTCTCTTCTATATTGTTCCATAACGGGTGCCCAATCTTGATTTGCTTCTTGTTCATCACTTCTTAACTGTGTCAGTTTTTTCATCGAAACGATTAAATCGATTTCCCATTTTTGCTGTCCCATAGAAACGCTGTTTGTTTGCAACGGCAAAATTGCATCTCCTCTTTTGAACTCACAACGAAGGCAAAAGGAACGATCCTATAAATGTCACCACCCATCTGCTGTAAAGTACTATTCTGACTTTATTAAGGCTGAGATAACACGTTTAAACAAGACGTTTGCGCCCCAAATCCTGCAAACGAAAAACACACTTATCACCAAACAGGTTAAAGTGCGTTAGACTGCTGGTACATTCTCACACAGCAAATTAGTGTGATCGACAAAATCTAGATCATCGCTGTGTTTAACGAGGTGGGGGGCATTATAAGTATCTCACTTTTCAGAATAAACCAAATATTCGGTAAAACATCTTCTATGATNATGATTAAAAGAGGAAACAGTTATGAAGCAGTGTTGCAGTACTCTAGTGGAGATAGCAAAGAGTGAGGAAATTTTGCCATAACTGCTAGCTACTTCTGTGCTATGCCATTATAGCCCTATGAAAAGAAGTCCAAATTATTCTTCTTCTTCAAAAGCATTTTCATAACTCAGTTTGTCGACAGAATCGAAGTCAACCGTCTCACACACAAATGCCAATAAATAAGTAGACTGTCTCAGTTGACATAGGTTGGATAACAAATCTTGCAATAACTGACTGCCAACTAACATCTTTAAGTACAGCTGGGGAAAACCATCCGCTTCCTGCACTCAGTGGAATATTAGAGGTTGGATTTACCCGCATGACTCTGCTGCAGAAGATGGAAGTGTTAAAACAAAACATGGTGTATGTATCGGAGTAGCTTTGGGAGAATCCGATACTGTGGATTTCCTAAACTGTGTTGAAATGCTCCGACCGATATATAATACACGGTTGATATTTTTGAATATGCGAGTCGTTCACCTCGTAGATAGTTTAGATTCCACCTAATGCACTGCCGCTGCTGACCCGGATTGGAGATGGAGCAGCTTACAAATATTTCTCACGGGTGCTGCATTTTCTATTTTGGATATCCTTTGAAAGCACCGCATTTTTGTGATTCCTGCGTGGACTTGCTTTCAGCTTGCCTCTCGTTATGAGTCGTGTTGTATCTTGCTTGCTATCGGTCGTGGCTGCGCAAATATACGAAACTTAATATGTGGAAATGATTATCGCAAAAGCTTTGGGCTCTAATTAACGAACTAGGGAAGCTGCATCGGGATCCCCGACGTGCACAAAATTAAAACCCATATATACTCGTAATGTTGAATATCGTAATTCTGTTTTACCGTATCTCATCCGTCTACCAATTAACTTAAAAAGTTCCTGCGAAATAAACAGGCTGAAAAACTGATGTTAGTTATTTTAAATTTTACATTATCTGAATCTTTCTGGTTTGCATCCATATGTTGGGTGTAGGAAACGGCAATTTCATCTACACAAGTGCATAAGTCTACTTCTTGTACGCGAAATTTTTTTAGGGCTTTAAACTGAAAACATCATGATGAATTGAGGGTAAGGGAGCAGATCGACAGGTTTCATCTTCAAACAAAACAATCCATGTGATCAGTTGCATGCCACAAACACATTCACGTATTGTATGCTAACCGGATACGTCTGCGCGAACTTTTCAGACAGACTTCGGATTTGCCAAAAAAATCGGGTTTGGCTGTAAAACATGGACATTTTGTGGTACTCCGGAATACGTGGCACCGGAAATCATTCTGAACAAAGGACACGATTTTGCGGTGGATCTTTGGTCCATGGGGATATTAATCTTTGAACTGCTGACTGGAACGTAAGTTTGTTTTCCCGAAACACATCATCGAGGTGAAGCCAGGCAACATATCGTGTATTTGGTTGTGTCTATTCTTTAAAGCGTGTATGGAGACGGTACCCACATCTCCCACAAACATTGCCCAAGTTAGAAAGAGCGTGCTTAAACACAAAGAATATCTATAGAATCAATTTGTATGTGCTTTACGGAAAACGTAGGAAGATCAAGCCTGGAGTGAGGACAAGTATACGGCCTACGTCACCGTCAAATTATTTTTGCCTTTCGGATTCACGCTCTGTATATGTAGTACATGTTTGTATCTAGTAAAACGATAAGCACTATGGAAATGTGGAAGCGAAAAGTACTTCCATTATGCTCGTCTCCGTGACTACAGCGGACATCGTACCCAACCATTGTTGAATTTCTTCATCTAAAAAGAAAATACAACATAAAAAGAAGAGCTAGGAAACACCACAAAGTTGTGTCAACCCGGCTGAGTCTCTTCATGTAACAATTAATGGTAAAAGAACAAACTTTAGCGGAAAACCTGCTTGAGTGAACTTCAAGCTACCCTGTTCTCCAAACTGTGGGAATCTTTGGCGAATAGGAAAAATCACCGAATTGTCACCTTGAAACGAATCTTAATTATTCTTCGGTAGGATACATCTGTGTGACAAGGCTTGATGGATGAATTCCATAAATGTTCCTCCAACAAGCTTCCTCTGCTTTCCTTAGTTACATTAGCTTTTATGTTGGTAAAGCTTCCTATAGTTATGTTTTTTGCATTTTCTCAAATGTTTAATTGAATTAGGCTCTGGCGATCTAAATGATCACTGTTTCAGCTAACAAAGAGCCTCGGTTTTATCACTGGATGTTTTAAGACCGATTTGCTGTGAGTTTTCACCCTGAAATACGAATTTCTGTCTCTGTCGTAGCAGCATCTTTAAATATTCACTCAATTATTTGACATAATATAAGCCTGTCATTTTATCATCCGTGAAAACAACTCAATCTCCCCCGCCCCCGGAACTGATCAAAACAGCTAGTCACACCATAACGGAATTCTCTTTGCTCTGCAATCTGGACACAGTTATTCTCTTTGTATCGTTCATTTGATTGGGCCACCTAATCTCTTCCGTTCATCTTACATTGGTAAAAGAAATCTTCATAGAATATTACCCTGTAAGGTTTCCACGCCACTGAGGTTGATTTACTGCTCATTCCAATGGAACCTCTTGATTATGATCGACTAACACAGAAATCCTAAACAGCTGTCGGGCACTCAAGCCACAGTTGTTCAACATTAGTCCACATACTCGTTATGAAACGGGAAGGATACATCTTTGGGATAAAAGTGTAAAATGGTTGTTCTACAAACCCAATTTTATCATGCACTTGTCTATGGAAATCGACCATCTATGGAAAGATGGTGACGTTCACCAGTTTAATTTCATACTTTGTCCACCTTTTAGCCATTTTTTGTTTAATGCACTCACTGCACGAATGCATATTTCCCGGTTTTTAAAACGGTTGGTTGACACACGACTTAGGGTTCTATCAAAATAATGGTGAGATTGAATTATTCTGAATCACAGCGAATATAAATTTAACATCTGGTTTGCACCGGTATGTATCGTGAATATGAATGACGGTTAGCTCAGCAGCTTTCAAAACGTTGTTGTACGATGCTATTCGATACTATCTTGGGCCCAGAAAGAACAGACGCAGGTAATTAGATACATTCTCAAATGACTGGTTTGGGTGGAACGATTGTCTTCTCTGAAGGAGGAAATCATTTTGGTGTCGATTTCCTGAATTTATTTTGAAGTTTGCGCTCATTAATTTCGCATCACGATGATCTAAATCAATTTAGGCTGATTATTTCTGTTAGAGAATTATCGACTTTTGTATGCATCACACATACCACTAAAAGAGAAAATATCTCCTCCCGATCAACCGTCCATAAATCAGATACTTATGGTTGGTTGTTAGCATGACAAATGGATAAGAGTCTGTCTTTCAAATCACATTGATTGAGTAGTATCTGTTTTTGAGCGACTCTGTTTTCCCATTTTCCACCAGATTTATATGCATGTGCGCCGTCAACCGTACTGAACTTGGTTGTAAATAAAATAAGTGTGAGCTGTTTCGACCGTATAGAAAATACCGTTTCTCTTAATCCGATCTGACTAGCTTCATGTTCAACTAGTCTATGAGCCAGTGATCAAAGGTTGGTAGGTCATCTGCTGTGATGATACAAATGTTTTACTCAAAATAAAACTATTCTAAGAAAAATATTAGCTTGTTAGCAATATTTTCGCTTACTTAATATTGTGCCTTTTAAAAACACTGTGGTCGTTTTAGCCATGATAGAACATCACAGACATTTGCCCATGTCATTTTAACTTTGAAGAAGATGTAGTAAATTGCACCTGTAATGGTACACGAAGTGAGAAAAAACATCATAGCCACCATTTATCTCACTATGCCTCTGCATCTGGTTATAGTGATACATCAGAGCCTTTGATGCTTTTTCTTCTATTTATAGCCCACCATTCAACTCTTCAGATCCAATGCGAACGTACAATATCATCTTGAAAGGTATCAATGCGATTGAATTTCCGAAGAAAATCAGTCGAAACGCCCAATGTCTCATAAAAAAACTCTGTCGGTACGTTCCGACTTCATGATGCTTTGCATTACCTACTTTGTAGATACTCATTCAAAAAATCAGTTGAATTTTTTGTTGTATTTTCGGGGTTTTTTTTCCGATAACGATAGTGGTTTCATTTTATTGTAACAGATTCATCTCTTCACAGTGCTGAATTCAAAGAGAATCATTATCACTATTCTAAACCCAAAACTGAACATTTACTGTAGCTCTGCCATGTAACTCCTATATATCGGTGACCACACAAATCAGGATGGATCATTATTTATTGACTAGATCTTAAAGGATACAATGAGACGGTCTGTGTAGATTGGCATACTCCTTGTGTCAGGCGAGCCGCAATTGCCGGCCCATAGGAAAGCCAAACGGTACCCCTCGAAACGGAATGAAACGAAGCTGAGCAATTACACCGGGAAGCGCAGTGGCTCACTCTCTGCATGCAGTCTATGAAAGAGTATTCACAATGATGTGATTTTTCATTTTTACTAAATTTTATTGAATGCAAATCTATACAATTTTCAGGAATGGAGAAGCGGCCAAACAAAGGACTGCCATGCAACACCGATAGGGGGACGTGGCGAATCAGAGTACCGGCGTGAATGAAATCGCACATTCATTCATGAATCGTTCACTTACATCCAAATTCCGCGATTTATAAGAAGTGTGACTTGAAATAATACCGAAGCTAAACTCACACATTCGATTGACCTAACGTAAGCTATGAAATCTCTGGTCTATCCTATGGTGGGAGAATTTATTTTCAAACTATAGTCCCACAAGTGTTTGCCGAACCTTTGTCGGAACTGTAGAATAACCAGTTTTCCACACTGATCGCTCAATAATTTTATCCTGCGGCGTGGGTCCTAATGCATCATTGTCATTGTTGAGAGCATGAATTAGCGCGAGGAAGTTTCTACATATTGCATATCAATCATTAGGATGGTTGCTACATTGAAAAAGCAATCGGTTTAGCGAGACAAAAGCATGAGAGAATAGATGGTGAATCCACGCTACTGATAAAATAGTTGCTAAGTTCAGATATAGATACAAGCCAGATCAGTGGGTAAAATAGCTCCAAGGGATCAAAAGAGGGAATCAGAAAAAGACGAATGGGATAAGTTAGACTTGTTCAGATATCCAGATATGGTCCGCTAAAAGACTGTGCAGGTAGATGCTGTAGATCGGTCTTCCAAAAACATAATACATTATCGAAAATGAACCACCGGCCTATAACATAAGACCAATTAATCAATCAAAATGATCTAGAAAGGCGGCAAAGCTTAGTCACTAAATAAGTGGTGCGTGAAGGGGAATATATTGCATAAGCATACAAATTACTTCAAAAGATTGCCGGTCATGAAACTGAGAGCAGGTCAATCCCAACGCAGCGCCTGATCCAATCAGGTTGAAATATGTTACACTGCGGTGATGTCATCGGTTAGCGTCAGAGAGAAAGCAGTCGGAGTAGGGAATCACACAGGGATGTGTACTGTAAACTAAGAGATTCAGCGATCATAAGTTTGTTTTAAGGTGTTTTAAGAAAATAGGCCTAGTTATGTATTGATCGCGTGTACTGAGCTAGTGGTTTGGATTCACAACGTGGCTTCTCTCTGCATTGCCCCTTTGGTTATTTCTTCAGACGATGAATTAAACTGAAGAGATTCAGTTAAGACGAAAGTGCCAGCCCTAAGTGGCAACTGGAGCGACGCTTATATCACAAGGCTAGCGAGACGATCACACAACTGTAAGATTTGTGTTCACCACTTTTGTTTGAGATCATTTCGGTTACTGCAAAGCGTGTTGGACAGTCAGGGATTAGCAAGCGCTGTCAGGTTGCACGTAAAACTGAATAGCTGCTACGTACCCGTTGAGCGTTTTGCACATGGATATAAGCGTGTCACTTGCTCTAAATAATAAATTCCTTACCAGGAGAAAGTTCTCTAAAGTGGCTAACATTGTGTATTTAAAAATTTATTTGGTGCTCGATGTTCATTAAATGAAGTTTTCAAAACAACAGGATCAAAGCTACGCAATAACTTTGTCCAAATAAGATCGGGTGGGAAGAATACTTTGCCAATAAACGTCTTTGGTCTGAAATCCACATGTTGCTGGGATAATTCGCATGTCAAATAACAGCTGAAAGCATTTTTTATCATTTTCAACCCCAATTTTGATTCAAGGTTCTTTTTATTTGGATATCCATTGTCTGGGGTTTTCCACACTATCCATAAACCGTGGTACGTTTTTGCGTTTTCCATGGGATATCTTTTTGTGCATATCCCTAAGTGCTATGGTTTGGTTTCATCAGCAAGAAGAGTAGAAGTTCATAAACGAACAAAGAAAATCATTGTAGACTAATCATTTGTTTCCGAGAGCTGGCGTGGGTCGCATTTCTCTTCGATAAAGCCACTAGTCATTTCAAACCTTGAGACTAGGACAAATTTTCATTATTGGGGGCCTATCAAACATAACCTCAGTAGTCACCGCAGCAGCCGAATTGCAGTTAATGGCATAACGCTCTCTCCAAAGGTCAAGTAGATAAATAAAACTTTCGCATAACCTACGTAAGTAATGGTTGCAAACTATATATTTGTACTGTGCCTTTATGTCAACCAAAACTGTTTTAGGCTGTTCATTGTACGGGTTTCAAGTAGACCTATGTAGCATTATGGTCCATTTGCATTGCATTCCGATAAATGGATGGGAATAATTTTATGTCCGTAGACAGGAAGGAAAGTAAAACGTGACAGTAACCCACGTTCCATTCTCGAATCGCGATGTACTCGAAAATGCTGTCCACTTCGCGTTTCCTTATGTTGTAAATCAAACACGGTGAATGATGGAGCACAGTTCTACTATTCTTTGAAACCACACAATAGAGTTGTGTTTGAAATCACCCCTCCTTGAATCTGAAACGAACGTGCATTTTAATTATAATTGGTAAATATCATGAGTAAATCAAAATGCCTCAGGTTTTCTGATGTTGGGAGGAATGCAGACAGCAAGGCAAACAGAAAACTGATTTGCATGCCTACATTGGGCTGGTCTAGAATAAAAACAGTCAAATACTATGGTTACTGATGTGATCACTCAGAGTATAAGTTTCCCTTTGGAATGACCTGTCACAGACATCAAGGCTGCTCAGACATCTTCATTATCATTTTATTCTTTGTCTTCTACACTATATCCTAACCCTGTGCTCCTATTCAAAAACAATAGCCTGACTCAGAAAACCGTTTGTCGCTCCCCTTCCACACAACGCAATACCAGAAAGCGTTGTAAGTATGTCAGCACCAAATACATTTTAGGTCATGCTTTCCCCTCAATCTCTCAATCTGGCGTAAAACATTAAGAAGCCTCTAATACGGGTGGGTTCACAAGCTTGTCTATAGCTCAGTATCCCTGTATCCTAGTTGTCCTTCACCTCAAAATACTTCCGCTACGTTTTAAGAGACAACGAGACGCATTCAACTGGCCAGCTGAGTTCCACCTACCGATTCGATCTCCGTCAACAGTTCCTTATTTGAGACACGAGTACAAGGGTAGGTTCTGTTGGAGGATGATTTCAACAAGCAAGTTAAGGTGCATTGACAGGCTATTTAGGAGGCCGGTTTGTCCGATAAAACAGAGAATAGATTACTGCTAATTAATTTTTGATCTGCGTACGGACCACCCGCTGTGATCATACAGAGTCCACGTAGAAAATAGCTCTGGAGGAACGGCAAAACAGCTCTCCTGTTTAACTGGTGAAATTACCCTATTTGTTGCAACAAACCATTATCAGGGTGACCAAGCAGCAAAATAGCAGGTTTCATTGGACCACCTACTCTGAGTCTGACCACGCATCGGGTTTGATACACTCTACGATTCGACTCACCGATAGCCAACAAAATCCACAATCGCCATCAGCTTATCATAGTTTGCGAGATCCAGCTGTTTGTAAACGCTTTGATCTCGAACTAAAGCATAATCTTTAAGCTATATAAAGTGATGAAATATATGAAGTAGATGTAGATGTAGAAACTACAGGACCAGACATGCAATCTACTCTGCAGAGATTATCTTCTGTAGAAACGAGCTTGAAACCTATCCAGTGAAACCAGATCATCCAGAATCAAATAGCGATAGGTAATATGTGCAACGTTAGTTCACGAAAAGACTGAAGAACGCTCATCTAAATGGAGGGCCAGTGAATAGCAGTAGTCTTTGTATGAGAGATCCGAGAACGACGGTTTCCAATGAGGAAAAACACGGGAGATCAGTGGATTTTGGTTGGTGAAGTAATCTGTAATAAAAAGGAACAAAAGATTTGCATGCAGGATTAACGATTTGCTCGCTGTACCCGGTACTTTATACAGAAATTCAGTTGGCGTGGTTTTGGCCAGATAATCTCGCCTTTTGCCAACTGTAGCTTCATAAACAGTGTCGTGGCATCTTATGATCGAATTCAAATTGCGTTTTTCCATTCAAGCGTTGACGGGATCGAATGCAGCTGAACCTGACGGGTTTCAATCCACCACACACACTTAATATACAAAAAGTACGTATTTAAACATACATATAAGTGAAATTTTATTAAAACCTACTCTTTTCTCTGATTTCAAAATGGTTTACTATTTACCAGCCTTACTTTGTGTATATTGTGCGTTTGGTAGTGACCAGTATGCATTTTGCTTCGGGTATTTCACTGACTGATGATGATGATGGTAATGGTGCTGATGTCGATGATGATGATGGTGATGCAAAATTTGGCTCAGCAATTCATCAGGTCGGTGTGTGTATCAAATACTTATATAAGTTAAGTGCTTACGACATACCATCTATATTATGACATAAAGGAGACAACGCTGAAAACCACTGTAGGAGCACAAAGGATAGATCATTTTGATATTTCGTCATATCGAACTCATTTAACTACAAATAGCAGAATAAATAGTACAGCCAATTAAATTGGGAAAGAGATTATTTCGTATTTTGGTGAGAGAAAATTACAAGTAACATTTGAAATTGATACGTCAGAACAGTTAGTTAAACATTACAGTTGGTTGTTCTGATCCTCGTTGGTGTTAGGTTTCTCCATAACTATGGTAGCCAGTGTTGTACTCAACAATGTGTGCCTCCAGGTCACAGAACGAACGAAACCACGGGTGGTTTACAGTAAATAAGTGGGTGTTACTTCGCCGAATAGGCAGTCGCGGTAGGGCAGAGGTAACACACCACGAAGCGGGGGATTTTGCAAATGATCTCTCAGTAGTAAAAGAAAATCCACGGATGTCTGTAAAAAGTATCAACATCACCACAATTAGTCATGGCCGTTTCCTCGGTATTTGATAGAGGTACAGATCCAAACAAAAAGACCTAGGGTTTCTGTTGATGCAAATTTTTATCACAATTCTAAAATTATTCATGAATACCTGTACGAAGGCGATGTATCCCCAGGTAAACCAAAGTGACCTGATCCGTAAACGCAGAGTGAACTAGACCAAAAATCACAATGAAGATCTGAAAATTGGCAGTGGTCCTTTGATTTTCGGAAATCAAGTCAGCTTTGCATTGAGTGCCAACGGAGGGTAACATAACTATTTGGTGGAAATTTGCCGCCTTTCGCTCATTCAATAAATCAAAGAACCGTACCACACGTACTGAAATGGATAATGCTACACAAAGACAGATATTTGAATTCAGTCCCGTTGTTTTCATTTAGAGAAAATCCCACGGAACGGCTCGGTACAAGACATGAAGGTATCATGGAGCTACAAAAACATGTTTGGTTCGAGGGATTCAATTGGAGCGGTCTACGAGCGCAAACCTTAATTGCCCCTATCATTCCCAAAGTAAGACCTGTCACTTGTTGATTTTCAGTCGAATGATTTGGTTCAAAGTCTTTTCCGCTATTTCGACGGAACCTGCTCTGCTGATATGTGCTTGAGAAAAGATACAATCTGGGAGGTTATGAAAAGTAATGTTTCACTTTGAACAAACAAGTGATAAACTTGATCGGTTTTATTGTATATTTGTTCGTGATCTAAACGTTGGGATTAAGTATCTGGTAACTTTTGGTAGAAATCATCAAATCAAAATGAAAATTACTTTTGTTACAGACACTAAAGATGAACTGGATTAAAGAAAAGAGGAAATGTGTGTTGTACTACTGGGATCCACGTGGATCCCGGTTTGGTACAACCAGCAAACCCCACGAACAATAATTTATCACGTTGATAACCGACACGAAAGGGTATGGCAGCCTAAAATTAATAATTAATTAATATTCATAACAATTAAGAGTCAGAGAATGGAACAGTTTTTCTGTTCACACATATCCGGTTTCATTGTTGAACACTCAGATATGTGCTCTTTTTGGGTGAAACGCTAGACTGAACAAAGTTAAGTTATTTGTAAAATACATTTTTGTCCTGAGTAATCGATCAGTTTAAGAGAACTGATTATGTTTGCTTGATAAATTTATCCAAGAAAACTGGGGCTCATTGGGCCACCCAGAGTTTTGAGTGCCGTTCAGCTCAATCCAGATAACCGGGCAACCGGATATTTACACATAAGTGTGTGTGGGGGGGAAGGGAATATTTATATTCAATGGTAACTTGACGATGGTTTTGTAGCTTCGGACTTTTGTGTGACTAAACCTTTCAATGGTCTCATGTTTACATGATATCGCTGTGCCACTTTTGAGGTAGTCACAATTTACTTCTCGTTTGTAAATGGAGTAGTCTGTTTTGCTGATTGATTGTCGTTAACCATTCAGTAGAGGAATTCAAAATAAAAACGTTTTGGCACAAATGGGGACCGCGTGGTGCCATGGATTTTATTTCCTGCAGGATAGGATAAGTGGAGTGCTGGTCAACTAATTTCAAGGTCAGAAGAAAGAAACTGTCAGGATCAACTAATGTCAGATCTGCAAATTTAAGCGCAAATTTCCAGTACTGTCCGTGTCCATTATGAATTCAGAGGAAACTAGTATTGGGCACCAAAGTATTTTGGGGAATCATTTTCAGGGTGACATGAAAAGCTTTATTCAGATCCATTCAAGTTGATGCCTAACGACTACTTTTACCTGAATCGCACTGTTGAATGGTCTCCGGATCCGTTACCTTTAGCTGGGTACGGAGGACATGATAATGGATTGTAGACATTTGTCGAGTCGAAACATTTTGACTCTAAATTGAACCGATGAGATACAATTAGTTAATGAACCAATAGAAGTTTTCTTTGAAGATATCTGTCTGGATGTGTCTATTTTTGGGTTTCTACAATCTTAATAAACATCATTATGTAATGCACTGCTGAAACGGGAAAACCATGAGTAAGTATGTAAAACAAGGTCTAAGACTCGATAGGACAATTCAAGAAATATGATATCGAGCCCAAGGACGGTGAATTTACCCACTACCAAAAATCCTCTCGGTCAGTTTGCGGTTCTTATCCACTCCGAAATCATTCTGCCGTGAAACTCTATTTTAATATCAGTCTGCTTACAGAACAACGCTACCAGAATAAAAAATGGAACTCTGAACCTTGAAATAACATTTCCAGTGTTTTTGTTGTTCATATAACGGCGAAGTGATCTGGACTGCACACACTGTACACATGGGAAGTGATAAATTCTTCTAGCCTACTTTAGAAAAAAACTAGGAGAAATTACCAAACAGACCTGTGATGGAACAAAATCCCAAGACCTGATGAAAGTCAGTTAATGGATTTGAACCGAGAGGACAATATATCAAACTCAGTGACAAAGTATTCAGCTTCAACAATCAGCTTCACATTGACAATTAGCTTTGAGATGAACCCTGCTCTCATTGATCATACATGAGATTTCATTAGAGAGGAAGGGTTTGGACGACACCACACAGCCGATTCGTTGTATGGTTTTGTACTGTTTTGGCACGGTTGAGAACTATAGCCATAGGAATTATACTAAGGACAAATAAACATGAGACAGTAAACAACCCTTATCAGACCTAGCGCTTCAAATAACAATTTTCACCGACATTTCCCATATGGCTCCATCTTTGTTGGTAAGACTTTGTGCTGAGTATGCGTATATTGAAGGAACAAGGGTAATCAGCTGAGAGAGGGTGTTAACCGGGATAACATGTCGAATAGTCAGCATACAGGAGGTAAATTATCTCGGACAGACCATTATCAGTAAATGGAATAAAAATGCTGATATCAGTCTCTTAATGGATGAGGCTGGAAACATCTAATGCGATTGCAGAAAAGTAATTTGTGACACCCCACCCACGATGGATTAGGTAGCAGTCCTTTTTCAGCAGTCTCTGGATTTCTAATAGGGGGACCTGTCGAAATAAACGTCAAAGTAGCTTGGGTCACAAAAGGAGCTTCACCCAAACACCTCACCTTACGAATGGGAAAGATTAAACAGCGCCATTTACAAGCAGTGTTTTTAATGTAAGCAATCCCCAAACAATTCAGTTTGGGCTTTTTGCTCAGTGTTAACTCCGAAAGGGGAATAAAAACAAATAGTTCAGAGAAATCTGAGAACAAAGGTGCAGGAGGTGTGGAGAACGCATGCAAATCCATTTTGTCATACGAACAAATAATCAGCAGGGGCAAAACATTCTAGATTGTGGAACACAATAGAATGCTTTTGTGTGATCAGGCTAGACGTGACGCACAGATAACAAAAGAAGTTAGTGAACCGAATGCGCATCTCCGTCCCTTGTGATCAGAACGCAAACGGGACAGAAAAACCACCATTTTTAAATATTCGCTTTCTTCGCTAATTCAAGTACGGAAGAGGATGAGACAATGATGAGAAGTTCAGTGATCGAGCCACCGTTTACAGACGTTAAATGACAGCGAATTCGAACAATAAAACAGAATTCTAATTTCATGCAACCGAGTCCCTTTAACGATTTCATGAAAACAAGAAAAAGCATCATGATCACATAATGTGTTGAATTTCATGGTTACCTCATCAGCTGTGTACATACATTCAGATAGTTTTTGGGTAAAATAGTGACAGGTTTGTGAACAGGTGAGCACACACGGGGAAAAGAAATCAATCAATTTCGGATTGCAATGAATGCGACAAACCTAGGGGCGCCATTCTTGTCTTGATCGGCCAGAAAGGAAGCCGTCTAATACGGTTCCCTGAAGAGGCTGTCATTCGACGTTACAAGCCCGATTTGCGTAAACAGACCGAATTTGTGGCAAGTCTCGCGCTGCCCTGGTACATGTCAATGTCCTCCTCCCTCCCCCACCTTGCAGTGATTCCGCTCCCTGCCTCTATGCCCCATCCGGTTCATAACCTTTGTCCTTCTTATTAATTGGTTTCTCTTCTACGTGTGTGTTCGTCTGTCCCCAAACCGGAGACGCTCTTTTAACCAAATGCGATCTGAATGTATGTACACAGCTGATGAGATTACCACTAAATAGTAGATTTCTAATGACATTTGGCTGTTTTGTCAACAGCTCACAGAACCGATCAAACTGAGAAACGAAGAGCCTAGGACTGAGACATTTTCGTGGTATTTGGATGTTTGCAAACCTCACCTGAACAAATATTACCAAATGAGTGAAACTGATATTAGTCATTTATTTATCAATCAGTGATTTCAATGAAAATCACTTGGTTTCCCTGTTAGTGATTTCGGGCTGAGGCAAAGATTAGGAGTGAGGGGACGGGGTGTGTGAAAATAGTGGGTATAAAAGAAGCTACATAAATAAAACTAGTCAACTGCTGATAAGAGCACTTGAAAAAATGGATAAGAAGAACGGGATATAATAACAGATCTTCCAAATAAATACAATTGTCAGTCCTTTGGTTATTTGCAAACTGGCATCAAAACCGAAAGAAGACGCATGTCACAAGAGGTTACCATTCTGTTTAATCTTCTCAATCAATGACGTAACACAACAAGGCACATATGTACCATATTGGATTGGCATAACCTAGTAAACCTACGTTTTCAGATAGACAGGGGATATTACAATTAAAAACGAAATGTCAACTCCACGAGATGTAAACTGGATGCGTCAGCAACTTTAGGGTGCATAAAATGGGATGATGTTAATGGATTAGTAACGCCTCACCGAGTGCCAACAGTTATGTATTGTGGTTACGTAATAAATGTTTGAAAGAGGAAGCGGGATCAGTTTTGTGTCTGCCTGTCACGAGAACGGAGTCGAGTCGAGTCGATCAATTGGGCGTTCGTAACCGAATGTCCCCGAACAGAATCAGACATTAAACCGGTTCGGCCGCGGGTCAGGCTTTTCATGCGATGGTTCGCAACAGGTTTGGACATGTCGTTGAACCATACGGTGTCATTGATTGTTCCCACACGCACACATTGGATGCAAAGCATCCTCATCGTGGAGGCTAATTGAGACTATTCATCAATTGTCATTATGGAATGCAGTTATGGACACAAACCTAAGGTTCCCTTTCGGGAAAATTTAGTTTGTCCCCAAACCGCTTTTTGGAATCGGTCTAGAAGTGTTCATCAAGTTTATTCACTAATGTAAACCATCACTAAGATTTCCCAAATTCGGCCGAACGTTATGAAATAATTTGTTTTTATTTTAAGAAGTATCCTGACAGCGTGCGCAATAGACGCCGAAAATAAGACAAGAGAAGGACTCATTTATAGAGCGTCGGAATGACCTATAGAACTATGCATTTTGCTTCTCCTTCCTTTTAATCGAGAATTCAGTGGTGAATTTATTAGTTTTCTTTTGTCTAATCCTAACTACGTCCAGCTAAAGTTAATTTTCGTTTTTACTTCCGCTGGGGCTTCGTCAAACAGCCATTAAATGTTGATAATCTCCACGTTAAATGACATGTTTTTATCCCACTTGTGATCTTGTGTGCACCTCTGTTAACCTAGATGACTATAATATTATGATTGAACTAACCGTTTCCTATATATACCATCGGCCTTCATGTTAGCCATGCACTCAATGATAGATGTCGACTCCTCTACAACGTCCTCTCTCTAACCATTGTCCTTCAATTTTCAGATCACGGCTATTAATCAATGGTCTTGTCAGGTTACATACGCTTTTTTCCTCCGAAGCTATTGTGACAAATATCCAGCTGAACATACATGTTGACGGATTTTCGACAAATTTCCCATACATAATTTTGATCAGCACCGAGTCCAATCTGAGTTACGCAGCAGTAACGCATACATTCTTTGGAAGGCTTCCGCAGTTCAGTCGTTGAAAAGACGCCACTGAAGAGCTCTAGCATTATTGAACCTCCAGTTAACTGTTCTCCGAGTGTGCAACTGAAAGCGTGAACTGATAATTTTGTGTGAAGATGCACCGCGGTAAATTTTGATCGACAAGAGGTATTTATTGGATCGAATCCAAACGTTTTGACAGGCAACCGGATATGAAGTCTCTTAGATTATTCGAATCTTCCATTTCACCTGTTTGCGAGCTTGTCAATTTGTTTGCAAGCATTTTATCACCCGCCGAGGAGACATCATTAGTGCTTGTGAAGTTCAAAGCTTTCGAGTTGATAAATTTATGATATGTACCGGTTAATACAGTCAGGTAAAACTTTTGAAAGGCTGAGACTGAATGCCTCGCCATCTAGTTCGTTGTAGCATGTGAGAAAGAAGAAGAGTGAACAAATCTGTGAAGTGGAATGGGGCTTTCACATGCGGACATAGATGATTGAACGTGAGAACTTAACAATAAATGTCCTCTGAACACAAACAAATGTTTGCTTTTTTTCTTAGTCGTCATTTGTGTACTGTTTCTCTGCATTCTGTTTGAATTATGTCCATTTCGTAGAACATCAAAAAGCTGTCCCATTCAACTTTTTAGACGGAATAATAAAACATTTATAGGATTTTTACTTGGAATTGTGGTTCAAATTAGCCTCCGGTAGTCTTTGATTACCTCAAGGCGTTTGGTTGCTTGTGCAATCGTTCAATCACCGACGTTACATTCAAATCAAGGTCATGTGTACAATTAGTGTACCTCGAGTAAAAGTTGATGGCTCAATGGAGCTCACGAGCATAGATGGGGATAAGAGGAAATCATATGAAGGTTGTACTTGGATTATGTGAATCGAACTATGAAATAATTTGGAAAAAGTCCAACCGATTTTCCTCGGCAAGGACATATCTTCACCCAAACCAAACTTCTGATTCTAATTGGCGTTGCTCACTTATCTGAGGGAATTGCTAAACTCATGAAACAGTCTGCGTAAAAACCTGATCGTTTCACCGTTACCAAGCCTAGATAGATGTGTGAATTCATCACAGTATTAACTCATTTCAGTACAACAATATCCGGCTTATATACACTAATGTAGTCAGCAAAACGAAAGTTGTTGCAAGTCGTTTTTTGTACGAAAGTTAAGGTCAGACAGGAACACGCCAAAATCACTTTGGTCACGGCTGATGCGATTTTTTCTGTTTCATGTGTTTAACAGCGGCTTAAAAACCGGTAGCAGTGAATGACTCGGGTACGATCAACTTTTATTGAAGTCCCTCACATGCGAATTATCACAGTGCTCATACAATCAGTAAGCTAACAATGACTTTACTGATTTCTGCAGGTTGCTTCAGCCACAGACGTTTCAAACTTCGATCGATACACCGAGGATACCGAATTGGCTCCGGAGGATCTATCCAATTGGGACCGGGATTTCTAACCAAAATCAGTATCACCCTAATCGCCTTCTCTCAACGACAGTGCCACAAAACATGCACGCAAACCAGCACACACTGAGAGCGAGCGAGAGAGAGAGCTATGCAGAAAAGTTGAACCGTGTATGCTTTATCAATGGGCAATTTTTTCACGTGTCGATGGCGCTATTCATGGCCAAAAATGGAACCGCGCACAACCACAATTATAACACTCGCTGAACGTGCCCAATCAAGCATGAGCCACAAACATATTTGTAACTAATGTAAATAGTTCGCTTACAAAACGCCTTGGATGTTCTTGTATCAATGTGTCTCGAATAATTATCATCCACAGTTATACGAACATGCGAACAAATAGAGATTACTACGGCGTGTATGATCAACCACAACCCGCGGGCTGATAGAAACTCTAAAGCCTGTGCAACTCAAAATGTCCCAAAATCCTATGAAGATATCCTCGGATTAGTTTAGGATGTCCGGGAATCAGTTCAAGTTGGCTGAAAATTATTTCAAGATATCTGGCGATTATTTCAAGTTGTCCCAGTATCATTTCAAGATATCCTCGGATTTTGTTCAAAATGTCCGGAAATTATTTCAAGTTCAGGATGTCCCCATATTCTTTCCACCTGTCGCGTTGACCTCATCGGTGCTGATAAGCCTC